GGAACAAACAAAACAAGAACCAATCGCCCAACAAATATGCAGGAGAAAGTGGATTGGACACTCACTGAGGAGGCCGTTGGGTGACATCGCGCGTCAGGCCAGTGCTCGAGTGGAACCCGAAAGGGAAGTGGCGAGTGGGACGTCTCAAGGGTGACATGGAGGAGATCGTGTGAAGAGGAGTTGAAACAGTATGGACTAACATGGATGGAAGTGAAAAGTACAGCAGAAGACAGGAGCAAGTGGAGACGTGCAGTTGAAGCCCTATGTTCCACTAGGAACCCAAGGGATCAATAATAATAATAATAAATAAACGTAATAATTCATGAATGATCTTTGCTTAAATGTTTGCAGCTGTAGTCCTTTTATTAGAGGTTACACATTTAGCATCGATCTTGTTTAGTATGTCCATCACAAGAATTAATTACTTTGTCGAGAACATTGAGAAAACATCTTCGTAAGCCATCACATCCCTCATCTACATGCATACAGTAGGGCATGCAACTTCTCTTTGTTCTCTTGAAAATCACGTCAGTTGTTGCTCAGATAACTCTGTTTACAATCACGAAAATGTGAACCTATTGTCCCGATTACCTGGGAACACTGCACTGAAATCAGTTTCTCAATTGATAAAAATACCATGGAAGGTGTATTGAGAGGGTCCGTTTCATCAAAGTGCTAATTTTCTTAGCATCATTAGTATTGCAAGAGACACAGGTACCCGGTTTTCATTCTATCATCAATTATTTTCAACCTGTTCCACGTCAGTGTTCAATATCTGAGTTATCTGGTTAGTACATTGGTAAATGTTCTACTCACAGAGGTTTTCTTATCTGGTAGCTGAAGTTTCAGTTAGGTGAGAGCGAATATTCTCTGTGTAGATAGAGACAATTCTGGCGGTAAACTGATTTCAGACGAAAAACAAAAATTGATTCAGAATTATTTCAAATCAGGTTTGTTGGTTCAACTTGAATAGCTGAGAAAATTTCACTGCAGCCTTAAGATTTTACCTGATACTTGAAATTAATCATGTAGACACTGTAAAGTAGCCTTAAGGCTGCTGATTTTTTCCAACCTACCAACGATGAAGTTTACTAACGATGTACAAACTCAACACTGAGCTTATACCTATTGATGACGTATCTTAACACATTTGTCTGTTTCGTGTCCAAGTCCAGTTTGCTTATCAATTCATTGAATAACTTCGAAGAACTTCAACTCCAAGTACTGCTGAACTGCCTGTCATCAGAAGGGGTTAAATCAGGATACGATCAAAGGTTAGAATCGGTAATTTCATGGTTGTTCGTGACGAAATCTTACTACTGAAATTAAATTAATCCGAATCTACACACAGCCCATAGTCTAAATAATTTGGATTGATACGAGAGTGAAACTAAGTAGGGAAGCGATTCAGCTATCTAACAGCAATACGAATAAACAAACGTTCAAATTTCAATTTGCATTTTATATTCCGTCTTTAGAATGTAGACAAAAGGTTTATTATTTGACAGAATTTGGTCCTATCTGCAACAAGTTCCGATCTTCGATTTATTTGTACCTTCAAAACAGACCATGCAGTGTGTTGAAATTGGTTCAAAAAGCGCATTAGTACAGATTGTTTTTAAGAACATAAATAGGCGGTTTAAACAAGGTATGACTCAGTAATTCTAACGAGTTTTGCTCTTTGGAAGAACAGCTAGCTCAAGGATTTAAACAGGCCACTGTAGCTATCACTTAGCGACAAACTATGTGCTAGTGAAAGCGAGGCAAAACAAAATTCTCTTTAGGTAGTTTTATTGCAATGTGATTGCATTTCGGACTGAAATGGAAAACAGGAGAACAAGTGAAGTATAGTCGTCTAAAATTTGCGGAGACTGATTTTGCAAGGGAGTGTAATACTTTACTTGTAGCTAGATAGGTGACTAATTCAGCAAATACCGTTGCATATTCCTGACCAAAGTAACCAGTGCCACTATAGAATACTAAGGTAATTTGAATGGACACTAGTAACTAGTGTGATGTGTCTAGTCCTTTCTTTGGTCAATCGCGAGCCTGAATAGCTCATTGGTAACGTCTCTGACTACAGCACTGGGTGACGCGGTTTCGAATCTCATAGAGGACATGATTTCCTTCAAGGTTGCAGATACGCCTTGCTGACTGGTGAATGCCAACTAGCATGAAACCTAGGTTCAAGGCTTCCTGCAGATTGCCTCAGACCATCTAAGAATACTAAAGTATGGAAAATGTAATATGTGTGGAAAAAGGAGAAGAGAAAGCAGTTAAAGCCGTAATCATGTCTTTAAATAACCTTTTAACCAATAAACTTTTCTGTTGGATCTAATTGTGGTTGTAGAATTTGATGCACTATTTATCCTGTTGCGTGTAATTTGTTATCAGTTTGTTCAAGTGTTCATAGATAGGTAGCAACTGTCTTCAATGGCAAGAGTCATTGCAGCTATCTTTAAGGGAATCCGGTGGAATAGATATGATGGAAAAGATTTGTAGCTCAGGTGGATGATTTTGATGCGGCTGTGTTCTCTGAGCTGGATAGTTGATTTGTGAAGCTTTCATTGACCTACTAGGAAACATCTTCAGCGCATACTTCAATTTGAATTGAAGTGAGCTTTTAGATTTCTCCACGAGTTTATTAGTCATCTCTCCTGGTGGGTGACCTTGAACGTGATTGGTTGTGTGTGTTTTTGTGTTTTCACACCCTCTAGACTCCTTGTATTGGGAGGAAAGAGGCAAGTAATCGGTAAATGTCACACACACACAAAGGGTCAAACTTCAAATCAAGGAAACAATCAGCAGTGATACCAATACAAGTAGCCTAGAGGGTGTGAAAACACAAAAACACACAAAACAACCAGTCACTTTCAAGGTCACCCACCATGAGACATGACCAATAAACTCGTGGAGAAATCTGAAAGCTCACTTCAATTCAAATTGAAGTATGCGCTGAAGATGTTTCCTAGTAGGTGAATGAAAGCTTTCAAAGGCTTTCAAAGAATCAACTAGCGAATATTCAGGTCAAGAACAAAGAGATCCGAATAAGCAGTATTCAGCAGAGAGTGGAACATAAAGAAAAAATAAATAGCAAATATCGTTTAACCATAAGAAGACAATTACATCAGACTAAACAGAATAATTATGCAGTAGATATAGTAGATCACAATGGGAATCAATAACTATGATTACGGAGTGATGAAATAATGAACGAAATGCAAGTACGCTACCTGCTAGTCATAAGTAGTATAATGCTAAGCACAAATGAAAAAGTAATAGAGAATAGATTAGGAAGGAAGTAACACGTACCATCCCCCGAAAACGTCATCTTAACTCACTGATTACTTAGATGGTCTTTCTTAAGTGATCTTCCTATGGTAATGATCATTCTGCAAAGTAGTATGTAATCATTATTGTAGAGTGGATGTAACTGTTTACGGACATCATCATATTTCATAATTTCATATGGACATTCAGAAAACTGATCTGGAATAAAAAGATTTACACATTTGTTTCTTCAGCTGTATATCTTATGCTACTCATCTGTTATTTGAGCTGCTGTACACAGTTAATGGTGTCCATTGTAGCATTATTTGCTTGGTAAAAGTTTTCACTAGACAAGAGTAAGATGCTTTCTAAAACTGATGCCTATTAGAATGAATTACTTGTGGACATATGTTAGGTTTTCATCTGTTGATGAAACATTTCTAGGCAACCTGCATTCGTATGAGTCACTTGTTACGTAAGGATTTCCATTAGCTGGTGGAACAATCGATTAAAGTTTGGGCACTGTAGTAGAATATAATTCCATATCAGATAAGTTTATTTGATAAAACACAATAATACAGTATTAACAAGTGGATGGCGCTTTTAGCACAATTTATTGATGTGGTTATGAGCAGTGAAGTGTGATTCAGTTACTAACACTTTATCACTAGTGTTATGTCAAATAAGCTTATTTAATATGAAATAATTGACTCTAGAACTGGAATCTTCGGTCTGTTGTGACAGTTTAAGGCGCTGCAAAACAAAAATTTCTTTGCATGATTAGTGTTTTACGTATTATCTCTGCTGACGTTTCTCTCAGTGTAGCGGCTATTAGGCTCATTGTGAATCTGTAGCACCCCTATATTAACTCTAGCTGCACGTTTATAAAACTAATTCATACACGTATATTATACGTTTACAGAAACTGATTATGCATACGCTATTGGAACATTTACCATTGTATGATTGAACATTGCCTTTCGGTTGTTATATATACATATGTTTTCCGCGGTTATACACTTTTTCGTTCCCCCCACAATTTTTGAAGTTTGATTTCGTTAATATTACATCTTGTCAAGTTTTCACATTTACTTCTTAATTCAACGTTGTTCGTCTTTGACCATGTACCGTGTTAGCACATCGCTGAACATGAAAATGTGGATGTACTAGATTATTATAATCAGAGTCATATTTTGTACCCTATAAATCGATACAAACTCGTATAAGTGTACGTATTTATAATTGAAGAAGGCTCTGAGCTTATTAAATCAAGTTATGTATCGTCGCATTCGAAATCAGGTGATCAAAATTTACCTGGTTCATCTTCTACCATTCATGGTAACTTTGCCACACCATTCATGTTTAGTCAAATGAAACAATCGGTAACCAATTTCACAAAGCGTAGCAATAGGCACAGTGGAGAGTAATGCAAGAAATACCCTTTCGACAAAAATCCAACAAGTATTACACAGTCATAAAAGTACGTGTAACATTAAACTTTATGTGCAAACTGATGCATGCAAAGATAATCTGTGAAATAATTCATGGAAGGAATGAAACGAATCTACTGATATTGGGCATTTCTAGCTTGATGATAACAAAAGTCGATGTATACAAATACCTGTTTATTTACTCAAGAATCATGAAACGCTGAAAAGTGACACAATTTCGGCTTCATACATTCCCACTTCCACAGTTTGCATCGAGTGTCTGTTCTCAAAGGAATAAGACAGAAAATGTTAGAAATAGTGCCAACAACTCGAGCCATATTATGTAAATTTTGAACACAGTCGAATTTATAAATTTATCTTGAGAATATTTTAACCACACCATAGAATAGAATATGATCTACAAATATGAGTATTTACAAAAAAAGATTTCAGGTTAGTTTCATAGAGGTTTGGGCTGATCAAATCTAATTTTTATGAAAAGGTGGATGATGAATACTACGTATGTGAAGTACATTTTGTCAGTGATCGATTTTTCGCGTGACTCAGTGAACCTCCTGATTAAACGAAATATTCCTAAACACTTGTTCTGATCTCATCTGATATGATGAATTAACAGTGTGTATTTGAAATTAGACATCTCAGTTTCAACCGGATCCCAGAAAACTGAAGCTTCAGACAGTGAACCACCTCGACACTGTTCAGTTATTTATTGCTTACCTAGAACAAAATATCCACCTCGGAGTTCATGTAGTCCACAATCCAGAAGAAGAACGTGTAAGACTTGCATAGGAGCCTAATGACAAGTAATAGTAGTGAACGTCAATTAACAAGCAATCCAGAAACAGAAGTATTCAACTTTTCAAACGTCTAACTTTCAACTATTCTGCTATGAACTCCATCTTTGGACTAAGTATTCTGCATCAAATCCTCGAATATCCAGAAATTTCACTTTAGGGTATAGTTAAAAAATCTGGTAAGTAAAACTTTTAGTCTACTGCCTACATCTGAAGAGTACTTACATTGATAAAAATCAGCCGTCCTTAATGAATGATACAAGTTTATCAAGACTAAACCAAGTGGCTAATTTATATAATTGGCCAAAAAACACCACAAAAAACTTAAAGAGTTGATCGGCAATAAGAAGGTTATGCTGATATGCCCCGATAAACGTGAAGGAATCGTACTGATGAAACATGAAGAGTACATTGGAAAAAAATGTCTAATGAATCCAATCCTACAAAACCAATCGATAAGAAGATTATGACAGAGGAGACCGAAAAGAAATAAAAACTGATTTTTACCGAAAATGGAAGACATATTTATGTACTCATACTGAAATGTTTGAACCTTCGTGATAAATTGGTTAAAATACTAGAAGGGCACGTCTTTTCGTCCTATTAATGATGTGAAGAATTCACGTTATCATCTCATTGTTCAACGGTTAGTAAACCTGCTGGAGCCAATCAGCAAGCAAGTCTGCTCTCATCTATTTCGCGATTCCTTTGACTTCATCAGTTGCCCTAATTATATCATACTTTCAGTAGGTTTGATTTCATTATTTATGAACTTCCATTAAGTGAAGTAACATCCTACATTTGTTAAAATACTGATTCCAACGGACTAAACATTGGCATAGCTACTCGTTGTTTAGAAGGACTTCTGCTTAGATGAAGCCTAATGTCATTCTCCTTCATTATAAAAGTGCAGACAAAACAATGGTATAGCCATGGGCCGTGTGTTTGCAGACTTCTTCTTGTCGAAACCTGAAAACAGAAATCTAATGAAAACGGTTAACAACTTAAGGTTTTACAAGAGTTATGTCTATGATTCTTTTGTTATGTCGAACGATAAATAGAATTCGAAAGATTTTCTGCATTTTTTAATAGCTTTCACCGTATTATACATTTCAGATTAGTGAAGGAGTCTGATTCAAAATACTTTTTCTCGGTGTTCAACTCACAAGACACTGAAAAGATTCAGCCATCGGAAACCGATCAAGAATTTCTACACTTGGGTACCTCTACATATAATACAGGACCAGATTCGCTTGAAGCGACGCAGTCCTCAACATTTGCAATCCTTATCTTATGGAAGAGGGTCTGAGTGCTCTTAAAATGGCTCTGTTTGAGAGTGGCTACCGTGAAAGCTTCATTAGGGAATCCATGAAGTCTACACCACTAATACTAGACATGCATTCTGTCTCAAAACAAACCTCCATCTGAAATTGTAATGCAACAGAGACTCATCTTTTACTTCGTTCATTGAGGAAAACCTGTTTAGCAGCTAAATGTCTACTTACACCAGTGATTGGAACGTGAAGGATAAGTTATCACTGCTGGCCTTGTCAATCTGCATCTATTAATTCACCTACACTTGTGGAGCGTTTGCAATCGAAAAATGTTACGGGAATTTTGTCCCCATGGTTTTAAAGAGAAGGAAATCTTCAACTGACCACCCTCCCTCAAACCATAACTGCAATCTGGGAGATATAATCGGTTGCAGACATTAATCAAACCCAGAATCAACTTCAGATTCATCTAAATGAGTACACAGGAATCTTTCCAAAGACATGGGAATCAAATTTTCTCATATTACAGAAGCTATGGCGATCGATAATTTAAGTTTCGAACTTTGAATACTAAAGAAATTGGTTCAGTCACTGAACTTACAATGGATCTAATTTGTTTAAGTATTTCACGTGTAGTTATTTAGAAGTGCATCTTTTTCCCTTTGAAACTGTCACACTTGTACTTCCTATGACTTGAATCTTGATCTAACCTTCTTTAAATTTTAACTGAACTCTACTCAGTCCTACCAGATATGTTATATCGATCAATTTACTTAATTAATTTTAACTTAGTGACCTCCTGACCAGTGTTTCTTAATCCAATTAAGAATATCTTCATTGTTATCCGAAGCTCAAAACTTTAGTGACACATCCTTAGAAACATTCCTTTCGTCGATACGAATATGATATATATATATATAGTATCCAGCTGGAGGATTATACCACTGAGAGCCCTTCTAATTTCATTTGGGGTTCACCCACTAGAAAAGTGGAAAACAGTTGGGTAATCAATCGCCTCAGCTGACAATGATGAGAACTAGCAATGGACATCAACAGATGGCTAACACATAGAAACGTTTCAGCATAACCACTGTTAAACAAGTTTCATTGTAACTTACAACAGCTATTCCAGTGGAAAGAAAGATGGCAGATAATACATTGAATGGAAACTGAAATAAGAAAAAGTGAAGAGTATGAAGGACAGTTTTAAAGGTTGTTTACGGTGTGTTTGATATGAAAACGGTTATAGATGAACTTTGCTATAAGACTGTATTCGTCATGCGATTCCTGATAATAAACGAGCCATCGGGAAAACGCCACCGTTCATTTATGTGATTATATCAGGCGACAGTATCAATGATAAGAAATTGTTTTTCTCATGTATTCTTCGAATAGTGACACATAATTGCTGCGTGTTATCACAGACTAGAGCAAAGAGCAGAATAAAATGATCATTTTGATGGGAGGGGGGGATGATAAATTCTTCTAGATGAATAACTGGCACCCTCTGTATGGTTGCTCACAGCCGGTAAGTCTATCGTCAGATGGATGTCAGAAGGACATCTCAACATGTGATGCCATCACGAAAACGTAAAATGACAATCAGCTCTTTCTCTCGTGCAGTGACTTTCTATTGAGAAGTGTAGGGTTGCATACTAGTTGGTATACACTGCAACCGTGATAAACATTGAGTTGATTATCAGACTGACATAGATGATACAACGCTATCACAAAGATGTCCACTGGACACCAGTGAAATAATTAAGAGCTTGAAATTCTGTCTAGAAAGTAATTATTCTACATTTAAAGGGAGTTTATATAGACAGACAAATGGTGTTGCTATGGGTTCACCAGTCTCCCCAATAGTCGCCGACCTTTTCATGAATAGATTCGAAGATAACATCTTTTCAAGCATACTCACTCCTAAAATATGGTTAAGATATGTAGATGATACTTTTGTAGTGCTAAAACGAGATCTACACAATTCATTCCTGGAGAAAATAAACTGTGTATCTCCCAGAATCCAGTTCACTTCGGAAGCAGGCAGAATCAGACGTCGGTGAACTACCATTTCTAGACTGCCTAGTTAAGAGAAGGGAAAACGGACATTTTAGTATATCCATATTCAGGAAGAAAACCCACTCCAATAAATATTTAGACTTCAAATCATCACACCCCATCAGCGCAAAGATTTCAGTTGTTTCAAGTCTTCTTAGACGAGCACACTCTCTGATAACCGACGAGAAAGAAAAAGAAGAAGAAATATCAAACATTACTGAAACTCTCAAGCAAAACAACTACCCAAGGAACTTCATCAACAAAATCAACACTGACATTAAATATGGTCGAAAACGTGTTCCGATAACATGGACCTCAACAGTCGTCATTCCATATAGAGCAGAGACGTCAGACGATATCAGAAGAGTACTCAATCAGCTCGACATTAGAGTTTTCTTCAAAACATCAGGCACACTACGAAACAACCTTGTCCATATAAAAGACCAAATCCCTAAAGATTCTCTATCTAGTTGTTTCTATAAAATAAAATGCTTGGAATCTGATGCAATATACATCGGACAGACATCACAAGAAATCAAAAACAGAAGAAATGAACACCGTAGAGCATCCATTCGACCACCGAGAAATCCGGTTGAACTAGAAAAACTTGAAAAATCATCAGCCATAGGTCTACATGCTATGGAATCAGGCCATAAAATTGATTTTGACAGTATTGAAATAATCCAGAAAAACTTCAGAAATCACAAAGAACGTCTAATATCAGAAGCACTTCATATCAAGTGGAATCCAAATTGCCTGAATAGGAATGATGGACTAAAACAGAATCTGACCTGGTTACAACATCCCCCTCTCCCATGAAGTGACAAAATCAACACGAATGTGATATGCAAGTTCACTATGTAAACACACACTGGTTTTATAATTTTACACACCGATCAAATCCAACAATCTACACTTAGTTTTGTTATCTTTACCAATTGACCAACTTGACAACAAAAAATGACCCCAGACTGACGAACGATGATCAAGTTAGTAAACTTTGTTTTGATATCATAACAGACGTACTATTACCTTTGTTATTTGGTTTAGTGATCTTCATTGTTATTTTGACTTTCAATATGTCCTTTTAACTTGACCTAATTCTATTTTCTCACCTCTTAACTCTTTGTTATATATATGCTGAGATTTTGTAAATTCCGGTTTAATAATACTTTGATAAAGCTATTAGCATTAAATAGCGAAACGTCAGTAAAAACAACAATATCGTTTTGTTTTTCATTCATTGGGAAATGCAAAACCTTTATTATAATGATGTAATTTCTATTCATTTTTTATGCGGCCAGCCTAATCAAATCCCTTTCCACAAGGAGACTAGCAGCTAAACAGTGCTTGTCCTCTTCCAGGATATTTAGATAATTTCCATTTCACAGTTACATACAATTATGAGAAGTGAGTGTGAAATCAACACTTCAAATGACACACTTACATCTTTTGATCGACTGAAATAGTAGAACATAATTCCAATGATAATGAGTGCCATACTCAGTAAGTAGAAGAGGAAATATCCTTCATCTGTTAAGCGTTTTGATCTGAGTCCGATAAACAATGGTAACACTCCTATAACAGCTGTTAAAAACAACATAAGTAAGTTGTATTTCCACTTTATTTGATAGCAGTGTATAACAGCGACTACAATCCATAGTATGACCTAGAAAGGAAACCAGGGAGACATGAATTCTTTGAAAAACAGTATATAGAAGTATGCTTTATTTTTAAGTAGTAGATGCTTAAAAACACTGAACGATTGTGACTGATGTGTTCATATGATATCGACTGCACTTATTCATGTCATGCTATTTCATCACTAGAAACATTCTCGAGATCTCTCGTTCATTTACCACTCAATGAATAGGAGTGGTTGTCAACTTAATTGCATTTTATGAAGAAATTGCGATAATTTCCAACTTGAGGCCAGTGAGCAATAACTTGAACTGCAACTCATATGAATTTATGGTCATAAGTATCTATATTTGTGTCTGCTCTAAATTGGCAGGTGATGTCTCTATGTTTTAATTATCATATAGGGATGTGTATTTTCATCAGTGATACAGCGAGATTTCTACATTTTAGTAATTTTTTGAAGAACATCTGATAAGTAGATTCTTCGATTGCTTTGATTGCAGTTTTTATTTACGTGTGGTGAACGTACAGTTTTATCCTTTTAAGCCAGTGTTCACTTCTAACTCCAAAGACGATTTGACTTCACCATCATTAGTTTCATCTTTTTGCGTGATCACTTTTCAGCGTTGACTCCTAAGCCCATCCATTTCATCTTCTGCCAAGTCAACTACAAAGGACAATGACAGAAGGTCGAGACGATTACTATTATTGTTTCCTTCAATTCCTAGAGGAACATAGAGCTTCAGCTGTTGATGAAAGTATGTAGTTTATTCGAATTGCCCTTCGTGACACGGCGCCAACTTCCTGATCCGTATATTAAGTAGCACTGACTTCACATTGGAGTTGAAAATCCGGATCTCATTTTTCATGCTGAGTGCTGTTGATCTGCTCACAGATGATGAAAGCTTGCCTTGTTTTCTCGATCCTTGCTTTGATATCCTCGTCAGTTCCGTCTGCCTGTAGTTGAAACGATGAAACTAAGGTCCAGACGATAGTCTTAGGAAATGTAAAAATGCTTGGAGTGCACCAGCCATGATTTATTCCAGTATTCTGGAAGATGCATTACTTGATGTGATGTTAAACTTTAGTCTACCACTTCAAATTAACCGATGTTGTGTGAGAAATGAGCATTATTCATTAAATTCAGAACTTACCACAATTAATATTATGAAAACATTAAGGGGATAGACTGCTCGCAACCTCCGAATATATATCAAGGCTACGTGCAAGACAGTACCAATGCAGCTGAAATAGACAATCAAGAGGTAATATCAGTGTATTCACTAGCACGAACAATAAATCAGTTTGTCTCAAGACCACTAATCCCGACAGAATTCACTATTATTGGGCTTTTGAACAATTGGTTAATCGACACCATCAGTGTGACTTAGTCCAAACTATGACAGTTTTGAAAATGTCAGTAAGACAACTCGACAATAAAAAAATTATCAAATACTCTGTGAAATTGTGTCATGTTCAAAGCTTTACACGAAATAACAAAACACTTCACATAATCGACAGCTTGATGAATGACTCCAGCATGTAACTTCTTAGTGTTTGCTTCAGCTTATGATGCCAGATGTAGTGAAATTCTCAATTATGTCAAATATGCAATATTCTACAAATACACTGGATGGAATTAGAACCTTCCAAATATGAAATTCACCACACCTACAGATATAAGATGGTTGGAGGCGATCATCAGATAGCCTTGGAGGTAGGTTTCGTGCTGGTTGCAAACCTGACTAGTAGAATTCATTCTGCATCAAAGAAAGGACTAGACACCTTACACTAGTTACTAATGTGCAATCAAAGTTCACCTACAGAGATCTTGATTGAAAACAACAAATTCAAAGAATGTATCTCCACTCTTTGAAAAGACAGGTGAATCATGTAACATCAGATAAACGGTTAAATGAATAAGTTTGTGAAGTCTAGTTAAATCTATGGAATGTACATTTTCTCAGAATCTGTTAAAATCATCCAATCAACTTGTCTGTCATTTCAGCAGACTTGAATATGAAGACTTCAATGTTAGCACAGTGTAATGTCGTCTGCACTGATTTAAGACTGATAATTTCTAATACTATTTCACATTAAGTTTACTTTCTAGCTTTCCCCTTAACTAAGTTGTGTACCATAATACTAAATCAAAGAAGAAATTTGTTATGAAACACTCACGCGCACACAATCGCTGTGATCCAGAGTGATGTTGGCAGCTGGTATGGAACATATCGGCTGTTGTTTAAAGGAAGATTGTTGAAGGAAAATATTATCCTACCTATCAGAGATCGTCAAATCAGGGGACATGAACCATGCCATGTGATAAAAATGTTCAACTGCTTCGTAAGTCTGAAAATGAATGAATGAATGCATGAATATATTCGACGTTTTTATGACAAGACGAACATCTGCAGATGAAATACATGATACGAAAACATTTAATGCAACCCGAAGCGTCCAACTGATGATCATAACGGAGCTCTGATTGAAACATTGAACCGAAATATCACTGTGAATAACGGATTTATGCACATGTGCATGTCAAACAAACAGAGTTCATTACGTGGTCTTTAAATTCACCTACTACTGAGAAATATAAATATTTGAGCAATGTTTGTGTGACCAGTATCTCCTAATAGTTTCAATTCATTGTTTATCTGACTGTAATTCATGCCTCAGTTCACATTTAGCATAATGTTAAAGCAGATACACAAGTTTCTAAAATCCACTGATATTCCCAATCAGTATAATCTCGTGACAATGTAAGTATACGGTAAGCTCATAAACTCACAGACTTCTGTCTCAATATTTTATTGATGTTTTCAAAAATGGTGTATTTATATGATTGTTAACAGACCACTTCACTTAACTGACTTCTAGCTGTGATGAAATACTCGAGAATGATCTTTGTATATTTTTGTGCGTTTTCATTGAGAAGTCTTATTGTAAGTCAATCACTGCTCGTATCGATCATCCAACGATTATTCTGTTGTGTGTACAAAAGCACAAAGTACAATTTAATATGCTTAGAAAATCATTTGGTTCTCACAGGCTGTTTCGTCTTCCTTAGGCATACTATCACATCTATCCATGGTCAACTGTTTTCACAAGACGGTATAATGGCAAAAGAGGACAGTTGTCATTTGCACAGCTAACAGCATTAATCCAATCCATCAAACTTCTGATGATCGCACAGAATTTGTGTTCAGTTGCTGTACAATATCTTCAAATGATTCATAGTTCGAAGCTTCATTTATGGATTCAAACTTCAGTGATTTCAATCTCAGTATTAACAGACTTCATACTCAAGTGGAATTTGAAAAGGTAATCAGCCATATGAGTGATTATGAAATTTAATTGGAATTGTAAATCTACATGGGTGTATACCAGTAGGCGAAACATTATGCGTACTGGAATAATTCTTCAGAAAATTTCCTCCTGAACCATCTAATTACAATATATGTAATCATTTCTATGTTTCAACTAACTTTGTAAATACCAAGTGCTTACCTTCTGAAAGGTGTCTTAAAAGTAGTGTGCTCTATTTTATGCTTCTAATATTTGTATACCATACATCCTTGTTATTAAGCTTAGTTCTTGTTTAATCTTTCTTTTGAGTGCAGCTCTTTGAGGTCATTTTGATATTGGACTATTTGCAGGAATTGTTGGTGTGTAATTCTTGTGAAGAGAGTTTTCAATCTCACATAGATAGGGATATTCTAATTGGTTGTATGGTTGAATTCTTCTTGACGTCGTCGATGAGACATTTTCGAGTTTCGATGTTATTATTGTTGAAAAGATGGACACATGGATGTGACCAGGAATAGTCATCTTTTTGATGTCCTTAGAGTGTTGTGTGACACTGCGTGTCACAAGGTAGTTTTGGTCAGCTATACAGAAGGAGGAAAAGATCCGTTTCCTGAGTTCGGATCACAACGACGCGGTTTTGCTCATCACCACATGGACAGAACGAAAATTGGAATAGACAATCTAAGTCACTGGGTTAGTGCAGAATATTCCACCGTAATTTCACTGGGCAACATTTGATGCTCAATCTTACTTAGCCAGTTAATCCAGATAGTTGTGGTGCACACACGCGTGAAAGATATTTTGCCTCATACTGTTAATGTTTAAGTCAGTACCAAGTCTTGCCCTCTGACCTTTGCCGTGGTTTAGTCCAGCAGAAGGTATTGAAGGGTATCTGACAGTGACATGGAGGGGACTGTTTGAGGAGGAAATGAAGAAGTGAATGCAATTTTGGAACTAGGTGAAGAAAACTGCGGAGAATGGAGAAAAATGCGTATGTGCTGTTGAGGTCTCTTGCTTTCCCGGGGATCTATGAGAGTAATGATAATATAGCAGTAGGCATGCTTCAGTTCAGAAGAACAAGTCGGAATTTTCAAATGTAGAATATTAGATATACAAGGTCATTTCAAATTTGAGTTGAATGTTGTATATAATTCTTCACTTCCTGTACGTGTTTTACGACGCATATTACTTCATCCTAGAGATTTTTCTAACGAAATGTGTTACTTCGTAACAAGAAAGAGTTGGAAAGCCACTCCAAATCAGATTGTTTTACAGTTGTTTATATTCTGGTCTTCTTTATGTGAGCATAATAATAATAATTTTTCTAGAGTCATGAACAGTCCTTTAAGCTTGTGCAGTTCTATATAGAATCTAAAAGATGTCGATTTTACTATTTTATCCTCGGAATGCTTCAACCAGTCAGAAGTATAATATAATATCTGCAATAGTCATCAGACAGATTGTAAAGATTTGAAATGGATATGAGGAAACGTAGACATTAGATCTGTGTCAATAGATAAAATTTCATCGCATATCTGAATGGTGAGGACTAAATAAACTGAGTATAATTTGTTGGTGACCGGTTTCTCATGATAATCTAGGAAACCTGCGACTAAGTGAAATATCAGAACTTAACATCATCTGATGTGCCTCAGTGATATACCTAATTTCATGAAAATACTCCACGTACCTTTAAATGGCCAGATGGTTTCCCCTCACCAGAATTATGACATTGGTATCCTATTGGTTATTGACTGTTTTAATTTATCGATGTAATTTGTGCCTCTCAAAGTCATCTAAAGTATATACATATATACAAACAACCGCTGTTAACCATTTTAACTGTTGATACGAAACAGTTAAGCTCTCCACATCAACGGTCTTTCTTCTCTTCTTGAATTCTTGCGTCGCGCTTGTTGTCGTTGTAGTGGCTAATAGTGGTTAGAAAAATAAGCTCCCGAATCGGCTATCTGGGGAATTTGTTAGTTCAACTACAGGTGGTCATATCACTCATTAACAGTAACACCAAGTGAGGTTTATCCTGCAGACATAAGGCATTCAGAAACTAATGGACATTATGATATTCATCAAGCTTATTCTGGTTTTACAATTCAAAAATAATATCATCCATTCTCCAAAATGTCTTCTTCTTTCAATTCTGTTTAATCTTATCTGATCACTTCCAGCATTTCCACAACCCTTCTCAGGTTGACAGCCTAGGTTGGAAAATCGTCGCAGAGTTCATTTGTTGACCTCTTCCTACCATCTATATCCTCAACTCTGAATGGTGACACGCCCATGACATTGTATCGTGTAACAAACATACAACAAATCTGACCAACCAAGCGAAGCCACAGAGTAATTTACACCAGAGATAACAACATTCAAATAGTAACTTGAAACCCCGAAAGGCCTTTATTCGTGCAAGTCAGTTTAACAATTACCCTCTCATACACAGTTGGCTTTTCCTCACTAAACTGACCATTGACTTTCTTCCTCTCAAACGGACCGATACTAACATAGTCATAGCATAAGACATATGAGTTCATTGATGTCTCTTTCATGGTGGTTGAAAACACCAACGACGACTGACTGATACAAGTTGATGAACTAAGCGGTGCAACAGAATCTGCTGTTGTTCAACCTTTAGAAGGCTGTCTAACCGTAGGATTACCACCACTGATATCTTTTATGGTAAGCTCCAGTTTAGCATTAAAATCTGTCGATAGGTGGACTACATGCGGATCATTTGCATGCAGTTCAAGTGAACCTGGGATTCCACAGATAATGTGATACTTAAATATGCATCTAATATGCACCATTCTACGAATTCAACGATGAGCAAAATCTTTTCTATACGGAAATTAATTACATTAACAGATAAATTATTAAAGGGAAGAATTCCATGTACTTTCACCCACAACTTTGAAGATCCACACATGTTTCACCGAAATTATATCACATTCAGTCGCCGAATATCAGAAGGACGGATTAGGTGGACAATGTTTGCAATCAAATAAAATATGGATGATTCCACAATCTATGAAATATTACAGTCAGTGTGCTTGTCAATTCAGTGAATTTGAATTCGGTAGACTCAATGTGATTACAGTAAGCAGTCGTCTCCAGCATTTTGAGACTGATAGATTCTCTATATTCTTTACGATAACATTCCTACCTCGCACCTTATCTGTTGAAATTATGCTGTTTAACTTGTAAAATACATGTGCAAGTAGTCACCCACATACAATCATCAGAATCGTGATAAACAATGGTTCGTCTCTACTTCTACTGCTCATATTGATGAAAGCGAAATGGATGAAGTGAAATATTATCTTACTTTTCTGCATTCGTCAGGTCAGGTGTGATGAACCACATTAAACGCTTAAGATTCTTGGCTGTGTCGTTAGTTTTAAAATGTGTGGCATAATTCTTTTTCAGTACTTACCACAAAGAATATCTGCACGCGAAATATTATGCAATATAAAACACGAGAAAGTCTACTGATTACTGTAAAACGCCTTTAACAGAAATATGGTTCTGAATTACCGATTTATTCCCATTTACATGTCGAAGAAGAGGAATCCGCCATTTCGTCTGAAAATTATCCCTCAAAAATAAGACAGAAATATCAATAGATGGCTCTTGATATCGATTGTGGAATCGAGTGGAATCCGAATGAGAAACGGTGAGTTAGGCGTGAGCCTCAGAGTGAAATGCAGGAGATGGTGTTTGGAGGAGATAAGGGCTTACAGGCAATCGTAGGGATAATTAAAGAGAACTGCAGGAAATAGGATGAAACTGAGATGTGCACCTGAAGCCCTATGTTCAACTTGCAACCACAGCATAATATATATATATATAATAATTGCCAGCTGAATATAATAAGTGGCTATACTCACGATTACCACGCTGTAAAATAATACACTCAGAAACTCAAAACCTATGGTATAAACCTCCATCGATTTAGATATGAGATATGCTCATAAACTCAGTATACTTGTTAAATCCTTTCTATAATTTAATGATTCCCATTGTAGCATTAAGAACACAATATTCACCGGAAACGTACATGGAACGGACAACTAACTAATTTTTATAGTTGGATGCCTATCTCCAGAAAAAGAAGCCTAATTCATTCGCTGTGCTTAAGTATAAGAAACATTTGTAGTTCTGATTGCATTGACTCAGAACTTGACTTCTTAAAAGCCACGCTCTCAGAAAATGGTGACCCGAACCGATTTAATTGACAGTAACAAGAAAGATAAGCAGTCTAGACTGGTCGCCGACTCAGTTCCAAAGAAAACCTTATACATCAACTTGGAATTCAAAGGTGATCAAGCTTTAGATGTGCTCAAAAACCGTCTCTC